TTTCCCACAACTTTAGTATGGCACATTCTGCCATCAATGAGATACCTACTGTTCTCATACTTGGATCTTTTATGATCCTCCCCATACCTCATGGGGCACCATACACCTCAGTCCACATGCTTCAACCAATCCCTTAGGACCATTCCCTGACTCTACTTGAGTCATCCAGGATTTTGGACTTTGCTAATCCAACAACCTACGAGGTCTCAGTCTTAGCGGTGCCAACTCACTGGAATACAACTTCTTGTATTCATGTCCTACTCACAAGGACAATCTTTGCAAGTGTTACTCTGACACTTGATGATTTTCTTGGGGCTAACCTTTGCCCCTTAGGACTACTTGTCCATGTGATGAACATAGCAACTCATCTTTAAGTACACCCCCAACTCCTTGGGTTGTTCCAGCATTTATTAGAGGTAGCCCCGGCTACCATTTCAAGGACTGGTGTCCTCTTCTGTATTTGACCTCCCACGGTCAACAATTCCGGTCTCAAATTTATGAGTACCAGCCTTAACCATATATGGGTAATCTTATGACTCCTTTACTCTATTGGAGTTTGCATCTTTCCCGTGATCCCACTATAGTTGTTTACCACAACTATGTTAGCCTGTTTGCTGCGTCAAATGCTCATCTGGATCACATCCTCACTCAATGAGGAAAGCTTTACACTGTTCCCAAGATCCCAAAGTCATTCCCTTACTGGCCCCTTTTTTTTTTTTTTATCCACCACCTTGCCTACAAATTCACACGTGAACTGTAGTGGAGAGCCATGTCTTCCCGACTTGCTACTCCTCAAAGACAAGCCCACTCCTAGGACCTTCCGATGCCAACACTAGTGGTGATATACTTGAGCACCAATAAAAGTCAGACTAAAGAATAGCTCTGATACCAAATTGTAATTGACTAATTTTTCCATTCTACTTTAGTCACTTAACCATACCTTCGACCACTTGGAGGAGTCTCATTCACAACCTCCATAAGTCCCATTCAGGACTTGGGGCTTGCTAGCCCCGAGAATGGCATCCATGCCACTCAACCTTTGCACTTGGTCCAAGTGCTCCACGTGTCCGATCCCATGACCGACACCCCAAGGTACCACCGATATATGAGCCCGTTACGCTAGGCCATGCTCCTTCACCTTGGTCATATCGGTGGTCTAACACCACTTGCATTGCAATCCCGTCTCTCCAAGACTGGGCCATCCGTCCATAAGTGACCATCCCAGATCCACTCCTTGCATCCTTAGGATGCCCTCAGACATGGGGAATAGCCTTCCCCAATATCCCCTTTCTGGTCCCCACCAAGTCCCTTTCTGCTCAGGGCCGTGTTTGCCAACACTGCCACTGGATTGAGGCCCACAGGCCCGACCACTAAGTCCCACGGTCCTCTGGGACTTCCTCGCCACACGACTGTATCTTTGGTCTCTACTCCAGAGGACTACTCCTCTTCCTTTCCACAGTCTAGGACTTTGGGACAACATTTCGGAACACCGTGGCCCTACACGGGCCTCATGGGTACTCTCCCCGCCTTCCGCCTCTAGGTGCTCTAGCCATGGGCTTAGAGCGAGGTTCCGTTGAGCCACGCTAGGTATCCAAGTAGGTAGTGCCACCCACACTTGGACTGGGAGCATCGGCCAGTCGATCTCCCGGGGGAACTAGAGCCGGCTCTTGAACACTTCACCAAGCTACCTCACTTGTCGGTCCGTATTCACTCTAGTCTTGGACTTCCCAGTGGTCAGTTCATCACCCAACACTGGGTCTGGCCTTCCTGGGCTAAACTGGCCTTTCCTGGCCAAACTGGCTCCACTGCAGTCCTCCCCCTTACTATACTTTTGGAGCTCACCAAACCCCCCAGGGTCTAGGAGACGAACGCTTTGGGCTTTCACCCTCTCAGACTCGAACTCGAACTCGGACTCGGACTCGGACTCGGACTCGGACTCGGACTCGGGCTCGGTCTCGGCCTCCGCCTCGGTCTCGGTCTCGGTCCCGGTCCCGGTCTCAGTCTCGGTCTCGGTCTCGGTCCCGGTCTCGGTCCCGGTCTCGGTCTCGACCTCGGACTCCATCTCGGGTCCTTCTTGGACTCCATCTCGGATTCCATCTCGGGTCCATCTCGGACTCCATCTCGGCCTCTGTCTCGGTCCATCTCGGACTCCGTCTCGGTCCATCTCGGACTCCATCTCGGACTCCACTTCGGACTCCATCTCGGACTCCACCTCAGACTCCACCTTGGACTCCATCTCGGACTCCGTCTCGGTCCAGCTCGGACTCCATCTCAGACTCCACCTCGGACTCCACCTCGGACTCCATCTCGGACTCCATCTCAGACTCCACCTTGGACTCCATCTCGGACTCCGTCTTGGTCCATCTCGGACTCCATCTCGGACTCCAACTCGGGTCCATCTCGGACACCATCTTGGACACTTCCACGTGTCATGTGTTGGTCCTTTTGGGTCCCTTTTTGGAGCCTCGCTTATTGCTCGCCTCATGCTTGTTCCTCGAGCACTTTGTTAGGAGTTCCACTCCCGCTCTCGATCTTTCAAGTCGGAGCTTTTAGTCCAAACGTGTTACGCTCGTTTGGCTTTCGCTTCGGCCACTACCACGTGGCACCCTTCCGGCTCCACTTTGGGGCCTAGGGATTTTGTGTCTCACACGCAGGTGGACGATGATGGGAGTTGTAGCGCTGTTGTTGTCCCACTTGTACGCGGCCTAAGTGTTCGGCAAACTCCGCTCGGACAAGTGGAAGAATGCTAGTCAAATATTGATCCCATGACTTAGCATCCGCAGCTCGTGGCAATCGCGAAGGTAAACCCAGCTCCATTGGTAATATTGGATCATGGCCATATAAGAGTTTATATGGTGAAGCACCAACAGAACTCTACACCCAGTGACATATGCATACCGAAGAGACGGCAAATAACCATCCCAATCTGAATGCTGAAAGTTCACATACTTTGCAATCATCCCCTTAAACATCTGAACAAGCCGTTCCACCAGACCGTCTGATTGTGGATGATAAACACTCGTGAAAGTGTGGCGAATCCCCAACCGAGACGTCAAAACATGAAATGCCTCAGCCATAAATGTGGGACCATTATCCGAAAGAATCCGCTCTGGACAAGAATGTTGGAACACCACTTGATTGAGGAGGAAGTATCCAACAGCAATTGCAGAGGCGCTAGCAAGAGCACCAACTTCCACCCAACGAGTCAAATAGTCAGAAGCAATAATAACATACTCATTGCCAAGAGTCGACCGTGGAAAAGGTCCCATAAGATCAAACGCCACCAACTCAAACGGACGAGAAACTGCAATTGACTCCAACCGTCCTTCCGCAGCCCAAGGGGGAGTATTACGAGCTTGGCACCAAACGAAGCTATGCACATACCGGATAATATCATGTCGCATCTCCGGCCAATAGAAAGACTTGCGTAGCTTCTCGATTACACGGCTAGTTTTATTCAGACTCGTTGCACTCATCTTCACTTTATTATTTATGTTCAGCCTCACTCCACTATTGCATCTGTTTGGCCTCACTATGTTAAAGTTAAATGTTCCATTTGGATTCACTATGCTTGTCCTCACTCCATAATTTATGTCATTTGTCTTTACTCTATTACCATATCCATTTGTCTTCATTCTATCATCGAAACTGAACTCCTATCCATCCCCTCTACCCCCTCTAAAGAAAAAAAGTTTGACGTGGCAAGGAAAGTGAAAAAACTTAAGGAAAAACCATTATGGAAGAAGAAAAAGTGGATAAAGAAGTATTAAAAGAGGAATTTGCAGTAGTTGGCAACAATATAAACAAAAGATTCACAACACTCAACTTCCTCATCATATAATTTAACACTTGAGACAGGAAAATTAATAGAAATGTCCACACTCTCAAAATAACACATAAACTCTTCAACATCAATGATAAAATAAAGGCTCTCAAGTGGGGATACACATTTAACTTAAAACTTTGGTCAAAGTGACTTAACCTTATATTTACACAAGCACTAAGGATATCTTGATTGTGTTGTAGTGTTGACGGCACTGGTGATGATGGTTTCCCTGATGGTAATGGGTGGTTCTCTCCATAAAAGTTTCAACAGAACAGAAGTAAGTGTTTGCACACCTGAAAAAGAAAGAACACAATATTGCAGTGGTGGAGACTGCCAAATTGCCAAGCAGGAAGGCTTGCACCTTAATCTGTCTAAGGCACGTTTTTCTTCACGTCAAGGACGAGTCTCACACCTTGGGCAATGGACATCTCGGATGCATGTAGCACGTAGTTGCTTTTGCCCCACTTCGGAAACCGCCCACTTGTGACCTGCCTTGAAATATTGCTGGAGTTCTTCCGAAACTTCACGGCGATGCTGCTTCTGGGATCCCATGGGAAAGGAGTGTTCTGTTACTTCAATCTTGTACTGCTCTCTGGAATGAGTAAACCATTCTCGATACACTCATATAGGTCAGAAGGAAGATCGAAGGTGAATGGACCTTTTGCACTAATCTGGACCCATAGTCTGGAAAATGCCTGAACCGATCTGAGCTCTCTCTGAAAAGTCGTCTATGAGTCGTCTGCATGGAAAGCAAAACAGGTGACCAGATCCGTCGCTCGATCCACTCACTAACACCGTTGGACTCTGGAGCAATAAGAACAAGAAAATCAATAGACAGATTCCATCCACATAAAATGGCAGCCCCAGCCAGACATCAAACCAACCAGAAGCGCTAGCTTGAGCTGAAACAAACTAGTAGCCCACAAAGACCAATAGTGTGAGAAGTTCCGGGCTGAAATGTAGACCTGCTCAGGCCGTCTTCCCTAGCCTCTAGAATTCTCTCCTTGACCTTGCATACACCCTGACCGTTAACTAAGTAATTGAATTACAGGAGCTCTTTCACAGGGTTGACACCACCATGCTTGCCAGCTATCTGCGTGACCCTTCATCACATGCCACTTGGTAGTTGTAACATCCAAATTCCTGAACAGCAGCGTCTAATCAACCCTACAAATTCTTGTGAACTTCTTTCCTACCGATTCTATTCTTAAGGACCATCACTGCTTCGGTTGAAGAACAAGGTTCTTCGATAGAAACTCGAACAATAATTTGGATCTTGGCCCTCGTAAAGGGTTATTAACTTGCTTGATTACTTTTCCTCTATCCCGTGTTTTGCATTCCTGCCGCGATTCCTTTCATGGTGAGAATGATGGTGTCTTCCAGGCCAGGAGCGTACTCGGTTGTGGTGTTAAGCTCCACAAGCTCTTCCGCCGATGCGCTGTTTGCGTTGGTCCTCGGCATTGGCGCATCGTCCGGCTCGATCTGCCGCATCTTCTTCAGCGTGTAGGCCTGCTGCACGTTGAGCGTCGTGATGAATGGCTCACGGAGTCGAAGCCGCTGCTTGAGCGTCGGGTTTTCCTCAAGAAGTTCCGAGTGGCAAGCCACCTGACCAAGAAAACACTTGCTGAGAAAAGGCAAGAAAAACATGAACACTGTACCTCTAGGAGGAGCTTTCGCGTTTCCTCGTATTTCCCTCTCAGCTTCTTCCCAATGTCCTGCAGCTCCGGAGACACAAGGAGCCTGTCGTATAGCTCGGCAATCCGGGGGTCTCCCTTGGCGAAAACCATCTCCACGAGGTCGACGGTGACCCGGAAGAAAGGCCACTCGCGGTACATAGCCTGGAGCATCTTGAGCGTCTGTGGATTCCCGTCAATTACATCCTTAAAGGCTTCACCGAATCCAAGCCACACCGGAAGATGGAACCGCGTCTGCGTCCATGCAAATATCCACGGGATTGCCCGGAGAGACTCAATACCCCCGCTTGGCTTTCTCTTGGATGGCCGGCTTCCAATGTTCATGCGTCCATACTCCAGCTCTGGTGTCGCCTATCGCACAGAGAGAGCCCTTAGCACAATGCAACAGTACGAAAGCTATGAGCACATACCATTCGAAAGTAGTGCACGAACTGCGGGTCTTTGAAAACCACGGATCGGTAAGCCTCTGTGGCAATCGCGGCCATTTCGTCCATAAGTTTCCGCCAGTCTTCTTTCGGCGCGGTCGGAGGATGCATTCCGTGCTCCAGCGTTGCAGCTGTGAAACGTTGGAGCGTTCTGAAGCACAAGTGCTCCTCCCCAAAGGACTGCTCAATAACTTCGCCTTGGATGGTCACACGCAGCGAGCCATCGATGGTGTCCCGAGGCTGTGACAGAATAGCCAAATGCGTCGGACCACCACCTCTGCCAACGGTTCCTCCACGGCCGTGGAACATCGTCAACTTAACACCAAACTGCTTTGCCACCTTGACAAGCTCTTCCTGGCACTTGTAAAGCTGCCATGCCGCTGAAAAACGACCAGCGTCCTTCCCAGAGTCAGAGTAGCCGATCATTACCTCCTGCTTTCCTTTGATGCGGTTGCGGTACCAGTCGATGGAAAAGAGGCGAGTGAGGCTTGCAGGAGCAGCCTCTAAGTCGGCCAGCTTCTCAAACAGGGGAACCACCCGCAGAGGCACGTTGACGCGGCACTCGCGCTGGAGAAGTTCCACCACCAAAACATCCGACGGGGCCGTCGCCATTGAGATGATGTACGCTCCAAAACAGTCGGTTGGAAGCTCCGCAATCACATGGAACGTCTCAAGCACATCCTTGATCTCATCTGTTTTCGGTAAATCTGCTCCAAATAACGGACGCTTCCCGCGTAGCTCTGCTAGAAGCCACTCTTGGCGCTCCTCCTCTGTCCAGCTCCGGTAAGAACCAATGCCCAAGTGCGTGGTGATTGCGTCCATTACATCCGTGTGCCGGTCCGACTCTTGCCTGATGTCAAGCCTGACTAAGCCGAGGCCAAAGCAAGAGACCTGACGCATGAAATCTAGCAAGCTGCCGTCCGCTATAAGTTTGTCGCCAGTAGAGCATAGCGAGCGGTAACACAGCTCCAGTGGTTCAAGGATCTAACAGAGACAAACACCGGTCAAAACAAAACATGTAAGTCACAGTGGACAGTACCTCCTCAACGGACGAAAAAGCCTCTTCTTCATTCACGTCGGACTTTCCAGTCGCAAGAATTTGGCGAGCACGCTCTCTCGTCCGATACAATCTATCACGTATATCACCAAGAATAACACGGAAGGGCTCGTTGGAAGGAATTGGCTTCCAAAACTCTGTCACAGCAGCTGAGGTAATCCGTTCAAAAGAATACAACAAAACACAAACCTTTGTAGTGTTTGGCGTCCTCTTTCGTACGAAGTTCCAGCTGAGCCACTCTAGCACGAAGTTCCTCATTGCACCGCCACATAGAGAGCTGGCACAGCAAGAGGGCGTCAGAAAACGTTACGACGAGCAAGAAAAACAACAAAAAATACCTCGAACATAAGATCTTCAATCTGAGAAAAGTACAAACTTGACGCCATCAGCCTTGCCAACAAGCACACGTCCCTTGTTACTTCCGGAGTGACACGGGGATTACCTGCAAAAATGCATAAAAAAACGATAGTCCTACAGAGGACAAGCTTGCTTACCATCCCTGTCTCCTCCCATCCACGAAGAAAACTGAATGAGAGGTACATTGTAAGGCAGTCGCTCGTTTATCCCGATCGCTTTCAGCGCGGTGTCTACCCGCCGGAGAAATTTGGGGAGACAATTCCAGATTGTTTCGTGGAAGTAGCTCATTCCGGCTCGCATCTCATCCTGAGGTGTTGGTGGTGTGCGCCTAATCTCGTCAGTCCGAAAGGCCGCTTGGACCTGGCAGTCAAAACGGTGTTATAAGCACGAAACTAATCCCGCGGTGTGTGTGGATGGACTTACTTCTCTGTGGAGCGCCTCTTCGAGTTCCTGCTTCTCATCGGGAGTGATATCGTCTTTGTACAGCTCCGACAGGCAGCTCCGAATCCTAAGTACAAGCAAACAACGCAAAAAAGTCAGTGCTTGACACGTAAAAGTGATGGACGACTTCGGCCTAGAGAATAGAGAAGAGCGAAGAGAAAAGCAAGAAAAAAGCTAGTCCATGAAAACTACCTGGAATGCTTTTGGAGCAGCGAGCGTCGGATGGATTGCGTTGGATGCGCAGTGAGCACGAGATCCACCGTCTGTGTCTTCAAGGCCTCGAAAATCTCTTGCGGCGACTTTCCCAATTTCATGAGCCTCCGGAAAGTCTCCTCGATGTCTGACTCCGTGAGAGCGCTGTTCTCGTCGCCAATCCCTCCCGACTTCTCACTCACCCTCCTGCGATGAGCAATCTGGACCTCCTCCGCCAGGTTCCCCAGATTGAGCATGTGAGACAGCGAGCTCGCAATCACAATCGCTGGCCCTGGCTGCAAGCTCTTCACCAAATTGCCCAGATCTTCCAGCTTTGCCGGATCGCCGCACCCCTCGGCCTGTCCATACTGACCGGAGAGCTCGTAGCAGCGATGCACCTGGGAGAAATTCGAATTCGATGGATGAATCGATCCCAAATCCATGGCGGTGAGAGGGCTAGGAAACATACCAGCTCCCGCATTTCCTCGCCGTGAAGATCCTTGAGCACCGACAAGAAGTGATTGAGTAGCAGCATGTCGTACTCGATCAGCTTGTCATCGGCGGTGACCTTAGTCGGGACGAGCAGGCGCATGCGATCGTCGATGGAAACCATTTTGCGCAGCGACAGCGCCATGGCTTAAGAGCTCTCCTGTCTCGCTCGCTAGAACCCTAAATCCAAAAAACCAAGACGAAAGAAGAAGACAATACACCATTTTTTAGGGCTCTTCCCCTGTGCCCGCGATGGATGCCCTGAGATCGCTGCACGAGGGTCGGATCCTCCGCGCCCTCTGGCAGACTTGTGTCTATGGCGCCGTGCTGCTGCTGCGGATGATTCTCCGCGTACTAGACGCCTCCCAGCTACCGCTGCGCCGATTCCTCTGCTTCTTGAGCATCCATGCCTTGTGCGAGCCGTCGTCCCCGTGCTGCGAGCTCCTCCCCGGATGGAAAAACCCTTTGCTGCCGCCGCGCATCGGCAGGAGCGATCAAGAGCTCACGGTAACAGTAGAGTGGACAAATTCCAGAGCATTTCTCGGTTGATTTGATGCTAGCTATGTCATAGGTGATTCTAGATTTGGACGAGACGCTCGTGTGTGCCTACGATTCGGCTGGTTTGCCGCCAGGCCTCCACTCCCGAGCAGTGAATACTGGAATGACGTGGTTCCAGCTCGAATGCTTAGCGGCGGACAAGGTACTCTCTCTTCCTACTTCTTTCTTCCATCACTTGCAGCGACCGTGATCGTGTGTTTTCTTTCTTCCCAGGACAAGGAGGGAAACGTGAAGATCAATTGCGTCATGGTTTATGAAAGGCCTGGGTTGAGAGAGTTCCTGGCGAGAGCGAGCCAATTCGCGGAGCTTGTTCTCTTTACTGCCGGACTCGAAGGTTTGGAAACACAGCTCTCAAACATTTCTCTTTCTTCTCTTGACACGCTTGGCAGGATACGCTAGACCGCTTGTAGATAGGATTGATCCCGAGAACAGGATCTCCGCGCGGCTGTACAGACCGGCCACTCTGGTTACGTGTGTAAATATACCACCTTTTTTTTTGCTTCAACTCTCGCTAAGACAATCTTTCTGTGTTTGATCTTGGCAGCAAGTACAGGGAGCATATCAAAGACCTGTCACGCCTAGGCCGAGACTTGCGAAGAACAGTGATTATTGACAACAATCCCTGCAGCTTCATCCTGCAGCCTTCGAATGGAATACCGTGCGTACCATTCACAGCCGAAAACCCCAACGATTCTCAGGTATGTAGAACTTCGTCTTCCTTTCTTGTCATTGATTTTCTTCTTGCTTCTTGCGTAGTAGTTGCTCGACGTGCTTCTCCCGCTGCTGGAACTGCTAGCAGCACAAGAGGACGTGCGACCCACTCTGAAAGATCGATATGAGATGGCGGCCTGGTTCCATAGCCGGGGCATTCTCGTTACCAGGCGACGGTGTTGACGAGCACAGCTTATTGCCTCCTGGGCAAATACACAAAAGGTGAAGTTATCTGTGTCTTCTCTATAGTGGCAGACAAGAGAGTGTGCAACACCTTCTTCTCCGGATCAATCCAATCCGTCTCTTGCGAGTTGATCTGGCGTGGGGGTGCTGCTACTATCGCTACGTATACTACGGTGTCATTGGTTCCGGGGAGTTGAAGCTTTTCCCAGCCTCAAAGCCAGCTCCAGATCGTGCAAAACCTCTGAGATGGACGGGCGGTCATAACTGCGGGGCTGGACGCACAGGTGTGCTACCTCCGCCAGCTTCTGGAATGCAGGCAGCGGAACATCACAATCCAGTCTTGGATCCAAGAGCTGCGACAGCCCCTGCTTCTCTCCGATGACGGCCATGGCCTTACAACGCAAACAAGCACCAGAGTTAAAGCTAGACATTGTCATGCAAGAATAAAGTGCTCACCATTTCGACAATGGAACGGTTCACTCTTGTGTCGTTGTCGATGGCTTTCCTGCCGCTCATCAGCTGCAGCAAAACGATCCCAAAGCTGTAGACGTCGCTGGCTTCGGTGAGCTGACCGAGTATGAGGTACTCGGGGTCGAGATAGCCTGTCGTGCCTTTGATCTCTGTGGAGACGTGAGAGGCATCAAGCTCGATGATCTTGGAGAGACCAAAGTCGGAGAGCTTGGCCTCTAACAGTCCGTTGAGTAAAATGTTGGTCGGCTACAAGAAGAAAAGTAAAGAACAATCTCGAGTGGGAAAGCCTTTGCTACCTTGATATCCCGATGGACAACTGGGCCTTCGGGGCACTCGTGCAAATATGTAAGTCCTCTTGCGCAGTCTATGGCGATCTGGATTCTCTGGTCCCATGTCAATGCGGGGCCATCCTTTCCTGGCACAGCAAAAACATGCTCTAGTTTTCCAGCTTAGGAGGAACAAAACTTACTGAGAAGCTTTTGTGCCAGGTCGCCGTTGCTCATGTACTCGTAAACCAGCAGGCAGACGTGCTTGGAGCGGCAGTAGCCGAGTAGAGCTGTGAGATTGGGATGCCGGATGCGTGCCAGCAGCTCCACTTCCTTGTAGAATGTCTCCACCTTTCTCTCCTTTAGTATTCGCTTCACTGCAACGAGCTTGCCACTAGGGAGCTGGCCTATGTAGACTTTGCCAGCGCTCCCCTCGCCCAGCAGCGATGCGTTGCTGAAATGGTTGGTTGCCTTGGCAAGCTCTTTGAGTGTGAATATGTAGAAGCCTTCGGTTGGGAGCACCGCGATCTCGCTTGTGTCGAATGCACGCAAGTCCTTCCCACCATTCTCTGCCAAAACGATTTCACAACACAATTTCACAAGGGTGGGAAACATGTAAACGACACGTTTCTTACCAGGTAGCGGATTCGTAAAGTCGTAGCCAGACTTGTTCCGCCGCCTTATCACGTACAAGCACGAGAGAACGATGAAAGCGCATAGCACCAGACCTCCGATTGCTCCCATGAGAATGATCACCAATCTCGACGACAGAGACGAGGATCTCGCTTGTAAAGTCTGGCCTGAGGAAGAAAGTAGCTCATACACTTAGCGCGCAAGCTAAAGCTATCGAAGAGAAGATAAAATATGCTCACCCGGTGCTACAGTGCTAGGCGCTGTTGTGATATTGAGGTACTCTGCGAGAAAGACAAACAACGAACAAGTGAACGAAGGAAGATGACAACAAGCCAGAATCTTACGTACGAGATATAGGAACTCCTCCCAGAATTTGCAAGACGCAAGTGTAGAAGTTCTCAAAGTAGACCTGGTTCGGATTGAAGCTGGTGAGCGCAATGGCGATGGCTGTGCCGCAGGCTCCCGGTTGATCAGCCTTTCGAGACGCCAGGCTGACGGTGGCCTGGAGGAGCTGAGCTTGGCACTCTTGGCAGCCTCTGTTCCCTCGCTGGCCGCACGCATCCGAGACGTTCTCCAAGTCCACCGCTTGCATGAGCTCCTCCATCTGGCCAAAGTTACAGGGCGAGGCATAGCTCGTGATCCTGGACGCTGGCAGCGGGCAGAAGCTGTCGAAGAAGGCTGGAGAGATGCGCTTGAGCTGGATAAGATCCTGCTTGTAGAGGTCGATGCAAACCTCCGCCTGTGACGACTCGAGGAACATTGCTCCAGTGGAATTGGTGTACTGCGCGATGGCATAGACGGCAGCTCCATACACTTCCTCGCAGCAAAGCATCGTCTGGACGGAAGATCCCGACGTGACACTGCCATCGCATAGGTTGGTGATGCCTTGGCCGTGATTGAACATGTAGGGGCAGCCTGGAGTTGGAGCAAACCAGAAATCAGTCACTCCCTCTCGAATTCTAGCAAGCGAAATCTATCCACCAAGGAGCAAGGAAGAACATACCGGTGCTTGGCCTGGCTTGGACAAGGTTGTTGTAACCCAGCACAAGAATGCACAAGAAGTATGCCCACATTGGATGGAAATCCAGCGCCTCCCCTCGTCAAGAACACCGACGACGACGACGAGAATCCATCGCCGCAGCTGGGCTAAATCCCAGGATCTAGAGCCCCGGCGATTTCGAATTCAAAACCCTTGCTGCGCGGCCGATCGCGGCTGTACAATGCAGCTCCTGCCTAGCATCGATTTGACGGAAGCCCCTCCTCCTCCGCCTCGTCCTCGCCATCGCCATCGCTCTCTCTCTCTCCTGCTTTTCTCTCTTTCTCTTTCTCCCAGGGTCAGGTCAGCCGGAGGAGGGCGAGCGAAGAACAGATCGAGCGACTATACGGCGCTGCATTAACTGAGGAGCTCGAGCATATTCTCGGGTATATTCTAAAAGGAATATACCTGTTTCTAGGGCAACCGTGAGAGGGAGAATGAATTCGTGCTTGCGAGGGGGAGTGCGTCTTCCCGCATTCCCGTGAGCTGTGATTTCTATCGTTTTGATCAATTGTTTCTCTAACACTGGTGCGGTGGCAGCGTGTTTACCTGGCGAACGACTGCGTGGAATCACTGGTTTCTCTCGCTGGGGCTGCGACACTCCGCGTGAGTAGCGATTTTGTTCTTTTCTTTGATCCACAGGTCCGCAATAAATGAATGCAGTGCTTTCAAGCTGTGGTTCTCTTGTGGAGCACTGTTTGGGATTCTGGCTGTGCTCTCCTCCGTCTTGGTATGGTTTTTATTGTTTTCTTTCCCAGGAAACTTTCCTGATAAGAACGGCGCTGTTGCAGGTCCTCGTCTGGCAGATGCTTTTGTCCCTTTGCAGAATCTTTGCTTCTGCGGGCAGCTCCCAACTAAATTCGTCCATCGTGACACCGATCGTAAGAACAACTCTGCTGTGGATCTTGTAACCAGGAATTGCGCAGGTACCTGGTTTGAATGTGCCATGGAGTGATGTTTTCTACGTAATGCTTGGTACGAGTTTGGCGGCGGGGTTTCACGAGGTTGGCCATGCACTTGGCGCTGGAAGGTAGAGCAAAAAATCTCTTTTTTTTCTCTCTCTTGTTCTCAAGGTTGTAGCTTGCTTCATTTGCAGCGAAGGTGTCCCAGTGCACCACGTTGCAGTCTTCGCCTTTGGAGCATTTGTTGCTCTGAGTGAGGATGCTCTGGAGCTGCTATCCCCTTGGAGACTTCTCCGGATTTACTGTGCTGGTGTGTGGCATAACGCTGTGGTACGTGAACTCGGACTGTTTCCAGTGTCGCCACCTAGTGAAGTACGTGCTAGTTGTGCGTAGGATGCTGGATTCTCCTCAAGCTTCTCCCGGTGCTGTTAGTTCCGCTCTTCATTCACGGAGTCGGCCCTGTGGTGAGCCTTGCTCGTTCTCACTCACACGCTAATGATACAGCTGCCTCTATCTACAGGTTACTGGAGTTGATCCTGGCTCTGCTTTGAGAGGACATTTGAGAGCCGGAGATGCTTTCAAAGCGGTAAATGGAGTGCCGGTTTACACTTCAAGCGATTGGCTGCAAGAGCTACAATCGAGTAAGGATCTCCCTGGCTACTGCATTCCCCATCATATCTCTGGTTCCAGTTGCAAGCCAGGAATGTTAGAGCTCCGCTCAAGATCCAATTGCTTCAACGCCAGCGAGATTGTTGCTTATAGGCGCTGTAAATCGTCCAGTTCGTGCTCACAGGTAACATTCTTTTTTCTTTTCTAGTTTCTAGTTTTCCTGTTTTTTCCTTTTCAGATGGAAGAATGCACAGAGCCTAAACTTGCGGCTGGAGAAGCTCTAGTGCGGATCTCATTCGCTTCGCGTGAGAACTCAACTTGCGGACTAATGCCTCCGGAAGAATTTCTAATCGACGGCTGTGAGAAAACAGTCGTTTTTGCCGGTGTCCCCCAAGAACTTGAGGCATTCGTGTTCGTCACCGACTATCGGCCACGCTACCAGCTCCTGTCCTCGCTATCATGGCTTCCAGGTGTTGTCCAAAAGCTTGTAGCTTACACTTTCAACATCTCAGCAGCTCTTGCGATTCTAAACAGCGCTCCAGTGAGTAATCTATCGTTCTGGCAGCCCACTTTGAAACGTTTCTCTTTTGAAACAGGTGTTCTACCTCGACGGCGAGGAGATCCTGCGCTCTGTGCTTCGACTGCGAGGACGCCACCGACGTCAAGAACGATTTTTAAGGGCTTGCCTGGTGGGAGGAACGGCGTTGTTTGCGTTTGGAATTTTTTCAGCATTACTCGCGCTATAATCAGCTCCAAAATTCGAGCAAATGTTCTACGTGGTACGGCTAGACCAGTTCGGAAGTAAAACAAAAAATTCTGGAAAGCGAGTAACGGTTTGTGTTAATGCAAGAGGGCGTACAAAAAAGCCGAGGTACATACCTGTAGCGTAGTCAGCTTTACAGAGATTAAGCAGCCTGCTTTTTACTCTAGAACCTTTTGCTTTTTTCCCAGTGGAACGCTGTCGTCTTCCGGCTTCCTCTTCTTGGCTGCTGGTTCGATAAGCGTAATGTCATCGTCGTCAATAACTTCTGCCGACGCAGCTGGAGCTGCAATGGGCTTTCCTTTGTCTTTCTCCTGCTCAGCCACGCTGGAAGACCATCCAATCAACACCATTCCATCTGGTTCCTTTTCTTCATCAAAGTTGTCCCTGAAAATCAATGCGTCCGTTAGCTTTCAAGTTTCAACATTAGCTCTCTAACCTGTGTCTGATATGTATGCTGCACTTGAACTCCTGCTGCAGATCCTCGACGGACAGGACACCGCCGTTTGTAACCGGCGTTGGGAGCTCCGCAAGAACCTGAAGCAAAGACATACGAGTGAGGTCAATCGTGCATACGAACTGGAAAAATACTTCCCTACCTTCTCAGAATTTGAGGTGTAGAGCTGAATTTCTTCCTTTCCAAGGTCGTCTCCAGTTTCGAAGAGAAGACTCGTGCCGTGCATGATAACCGGAGAGCTCACGCCCAGCTTGGTTCTCAGTATCCGATCGATCACGTCCTTAAGTTTCGTGTGTCCAGTGTTTACTTCCAGGATGAGAGGAGTCTGTTAGAAGGAAAGTAAAATCCGAGAGTCAGAACAATCCAGAAAGCGCTAAAGAAAATTAAACGCACATTCGAACAAACATAGCAGTTAGGATTCGGTTCAAAAGGGTCGGCTGGCATCAGCAATCTTTTTCTTGAAGGGTGCTCAACGCAGTACGTCATCCTGAACCAAACAAAGAAAATCTAACACACCAACAACGATTTTAAAATGCTTACCTGCAGTGGTCGAGGTCCTTCATAAGTATCTTCACGGCCTCAATCACAATCAACCCGGCAATGATAGCGTTCGTTGTAGCTATTGCATGTATGATGTTTCCAGCAATACCTTTCGCGTCAAAAATACTCATAACAGGGATTCCAAAGGAGTACGCTCTCAGATTAGCTGCTGACGAAACGAACTCCATTGCCAACTGATCGTCCTTGTCAAAAGTCAGGCTTCCAATCTCCTGCAACAAGCCGAGCATCAATCTGAGTGGTCCTGGCGAGTGAAACAGAGTACCTTCGTTCTCGTCTCCAGGATTGCACGCATAGCAGAAATGAAAAGCCTGGCATTATCCTGAAGGCTCAAGACTTCTTGAGGATTCTTGAATCCCAGCAGTGGCATAACCGACAGGATGGACTCTGAGAACCTGTGTGCTTTGCAAGTCTCAATCCCTTCGGGTAGAACGCCAGAAAGAAACAACGGAGTGGGACGCCTCCTGTTTTTCCATTGATCCTCGTTCTTTAAAGCCACCTCAATATTATGACCAAAGATTTGGTCGAAAACCCTGGCACAGAAGTCACTGATAGTCTCAGCGTCACGTAGTTGTAAAAAATCCTCGTGATCACTGTCAGCTGCCTGCAGGTTGAGATCGCTTGCCTGGCTGCGGTCACCGAAAAGCTTGACCAGAACAAGCTCTTTTGCCCACACAATGCAGTGCACTGGCTGAAGAGCAAGACCGAAATGAGAGAGATGATAATGCCATATTTCACAGAAAAGTACCTTGGAGGGCGTACTCGTTATAGTGCAAATCGGATAAGTCTTCGGGGCAGGCTTAGGTTGGCACTCGTAGCATTCAGTCTTTCCTTTAACATGCACTGTGACCTGCAGCAGTGAATTTTCATCGAAGGACCCAAGAACTTCCAAAAACTAAAACCTTCTAAGTACCTGTCCCAAGTAGCCAGTAGTTCCACTTTCAATCAAAGGAACTCCCGCTGCCAGGCACAGCCGATTCACGTGACGCCGGGCATCCAAATTATCGAGCCCGTTCAGCACAACCTGGAACTGCTGATAAAAATCCACGTTGAATTGCTCGTCCTTGACGTTGGCGTGATAGCTAGTTACATTAGCATCGGGCCGGAATTTTAGAACCGCTTCACGAGCAACCTGATCGCGGTCTATCAGGGGAAAAGAATGAAAAAAAAGTGATGCTTACTTTAGCTTTGGATTGTCCAACGTGACGCTTGCGGAAAAGAAACTGTCGGTTGAGATTGCTAACTTCGATTGTGTCCATGTCGATCTGTGTACTCTCGTCAATGTGAAATTCCAGAGAATCCTCTCACACTTACAATGTCTATGTTGTGGAAGCCAGTGAGCACCAGAGTCTTGAGGAGCTCGCAGCCAATACCGCCAGCTCCAACCATGAGGACTCTCGACTTCTGCGCATTCCCAAAGCGCATGGAGCTCAAATTTTGCGAGATTGAGGGAGCGCCTACCTTGAGTACCTCGCGCTGCTCCATGGCGCCGGGGGATTAGGTCTCCACGACTAAAACCCTAGCTCCTTCCCGCCTTGACTTCCGCCCACATTTCGTCCAGCGCGAATATGCCTAAGATCGTTAACGCTGGCCCTTGGCCACCTACATGGCATCGTCTGAGTGGGTGACACAGAAGAGACCACTGACGCGGCACTATGCGATTAGTCACCGTGTAACGGTCCCAGTTCACACTAGCACCACGACCTTAAGATTTAAAGTGGATTAGGGTTCTTCGTTGGATCTAACACGCAGCAGCGCAGCGCGATCACACGCACCGACACGCCAGAACGACACAGTGCTGCTGGATGTGGCGGCGAATTTCTTTTCTTTCTTCCAATCTCTGGTGAGGGGGTAGCTAGAATCGAGCTAGAAGCTTTAGCGGCCCGGAAGTTTGGTCGCCATGGGGTTGAGCATGAGATACTCGGACGCGCCACAGGTAGCGCAGCTGCTAGTCGCGGGACTCATCCTGGCAGCAGCTGTTCTGGGATTGTCATCGCATTTCTTGGGATTCATTCCAGTCGCGATTCCGGCCTTCGGCATCTTTCTGCCCAAGAAAAAGGAGAACCGGCGCGTGAGGGTTTACATGGATGGCTGCTTCGATCTTATGCACTACGGCCATGCGAATGCGCTGCGACAGGCGAGAGCGCTCGGTGACGAGCTTGTGGTGGGAGTTGTGAGCGATGGAGAAATTGAGAGCAACAAGGGACCGCCAGTCATGTCCATGGACGAGAGGTGGGCTCTTAAGAGTTTTTTTTTTTTTTTTTTCTCCTTGGTCTAACATCTCTTCCATAAAGGATGGCGATGGTTCGCTCCGTGAAATGGGTGGACGAAGTTATTGAGGATGCTCCGTACGCTATCAACGAGGAATTCATGAACAAGCTCTTTACGAAGTACCGCATCGACTATATCATTCACGGGGACGATCCTTGCCTTCTTCCCGATGGCAGCGACGCGTACGCACACGCCAAAAAGGCCGGCCGCTACAAGCAGATCAAGCGTACAGAGGGAGTGTCGAGCACGGACATTGTTGGTACTGAAATAAGCTCTCTCTCTCTCTCTCTCTCTCTCTCTCCCCTCTCTCTCTCTCCACTCATGTCGAGCTGCAATTGCTACAGGAAGGATGCTGCTTTGCGTGAGAGACCGGCCACCCAGCGAAATCCAGAACCATGCGTCTTTGCAGCGTCAGTTCAGTCACGGCCACAGCCATGGCCCAGACAGTCATCCCCAGACTCAGATCTCCCATTTTTTGCCAACTTCGCGTCGCATAGTTCAGTTTTCAAATGGAAAGGTGTGTACCATTATTGAGCTCTGCCAACTAATTTATTCTTTCTAAACTTTATTCTCTCAGGGTCCAAGGCCAGACGCTCGGATTGTTTACATTGATGGCGCATTTGACTTGTTCCACGCTGGGCATGTGGCTGTAGGTATTTTATATTCGATATTGTTGGAATTTTACTGTTCTTTTGGTCCTTCCAGATTTTGGAGCGTGCCAAAGCGTTGGGCGATTTCTTACTCGTGGGAATTCACACGGACCAAACAGTGAGGTGATGCTCCTTTTTGAAACATCTATGCTGTTTGTTTAGCGAGTGGCTTTTGTTCACAGGACTCGAAGGGGTGCACATCATCCGGTGATGAACCTACATGAGCGGAGCCTCAGTGTTCTCTCCTGCAGGTATGCCGATGAAATCATCATTGGAGCACCATGGGAAGTCACGAAAGACATGGTGAGATCATATGATGTAGATAGAGACTCATGGCTAACACCACATCTATTTCGTGTTGATCAGGTCACTACGTTCAACATCTCTTTGGTAGTACATGGAACCGTGGCGGAGACCACTGATTTTAAAGAGGTATACTGGTGCCTTGAGTGAGCTCTCACCGACTCTCTTGTGCTCCCTTCCAGGGTGATTTCGATCCATATGCGTGTCCCAAGCAGCTAGGAAAATTCAAAATTTTGGAGAGCCCCCGGAACATAACTACGTCAACCATAATCGCGCGCATTGTCGCAAACCACGAGGCTTTCAGGGTCAGTGCCGTTACGATATAAACCAGTTGCCGTTATTGAGAAAATGTTTGTCTCTACAGAAGCGCAACGAGAAGAAGGCCGAGAGTGAGCGGAGGTACTACGCGAACAAGCAATTTGTAAATGGAGACTAGGAGGGCGAGTATAGCTATTTTTCAATGATATAATCACTTTGAATATCTCTAGGCAAGGCAGACATCACACTTGGACTTCGAGATAGGATTGATAAGCTTGCAATTCTTGCACCTCCATCCGTTTCTCAAGAAGAAGAGTAGGTCTTCCTCATTCTATACCAACTCGGATAGAAGACAGTCGGACCATCTATGTCAATTCAGCATTACGTTTGGCCGGCTTAGTGCTTTGTTCGGCCTCATTCCTTTTAGAAGCAACATCAACGTCAAGCCCGGCTTCTAGAGAGCTGGCCATAAACTGTTGGGTGCGCTTTGTCAGTGTGACGAGCTTATAAAGCCGATCCTCTCCTCGCATCCTTGCACTCGTTCTCGGCGCAATGTGAAGCCTGTCTCAAGGCCGCAGCGGCATCTTGGAGGTAATTGTACAGGCTGACCTTGTACGAGTTGTCTTGATGATCACAAGCACACAAGTAGTATTCATACACGAAGCTCCACTTCATGACCCTGCGGCACCGGACACTCATCTTCCACGCATCGAGTATGAAGTTGAGCTCGATATAGGTGTCACCGTCCTTGTTCAGCTTGGTCTGGAATGACCGTGCTCAAGTCGCTCTGCACCTTGTCCATGGACTTGGCCCGCCTCGAACCTCGCAAAGAAGTGCTCGTATCGCTTCACGTCCATTCGGGCCTTGCGCCTGTCTTTTGCCACAGAATCGTCCTCCACCAGCCGGAAGCGCCATGCTTCAAGACAGATCCAGCAAAACTGGTGCTTGCATGGAGCGGCACAAAGGCTTTGTTCCTTTTAGAAGAAACAACATCATGTCAAGCCTGTTCTTCTCTATGGGCCGGCTGCACTTGCCAACCAGCCATGCAACGTTGCCACTCTCGGACTTGTTCTTGGCGTTCCACTTGGCCGCGAGCTCGCACGAGACCGAAGGCTGCGGCTAGTCGAGGCACCCCCAGCAGAAAGTCACAAGACACTTGCATGTCACTTCGGAGGCTCCAGTCTGTGGCTTCTAAAACGGCCAACATACACCCAGGTGTCTGGCTTTCCACATAAGAGGCTGTACCGCACAAACTCGTGAACGATCAAAATGAAGGTGCAATTACAGAGCATGCAGGGGATTCCAAGATCCCAAGAATATAAGGATAAGAGCAGGAAGCAATGGGTTCAAGGCTTCTGTATTTAATAGTGTTTCTTAGAGTGTGATTGGATTGGAGTGTGTTTATATTCGTTTTTGTAGATTGATTGTGGATGTGGGTTCTTTTGTTTTAAAAGCAAATGTGTTTCAATTAATGTCTAGAGTATCTCAGGGGTGAGATCCTGTGTCTGCACTATGAAGTTGAATCACGTGCACACATTTGTTTCGTGTCATGAGGCTGCCACTCACTAGCAAAGAGTTTGAACTAAGCTGTGTTGGTGAGAGATCAGGGAAACATCACCAGGCCCATTGCACCTTCTAGGGCGGTCCAAGGCTCTCTGAAACCAGGTCATCACTGCACAACTGCACCACAATTCTGTTCCAGACATCTGCTTCGGATGCAATCTGGTCCATATCACTCCCAGCACTCGTCGCAGAAGCTGCAAAGGGCATACCTGATTTTATCCAATGGATAAAACTCGAAGTATATGTCAAATCACCGACACCATTGCCAACAATGAAAACCCCACGAACTTTTGATTTGTCCGCAAACCATGCTTCACCCCTCTGGAGAGCAGATCTGCGGCTTCTTGCATTGCCTGATTCTGTAGCTGAGCAATCTGAACTTCATCCAAGGCACCACTGCAGCTACTGCTGCTTACGAATGGCCATCGTCATCTGGGACATAGTTATCTTGTTGAAAAAATCTTTTAAACTAGAGTGGAAGCAAATCCTCGCCGCACACGTGTCCATCACTCTAGGGTTAGGGTTAGCGCGTGGCACTGGCAGTGGCGCTGGCCAAGGCGCCACAGCAGCCCCGCGACGATGATGTTCACCAATGTCTTCCGAATTGTAAGCGCTGCTGTCGCGGTTGGAGCTGTCGTTGCTGATGAATGCCGGTTTTACAGGGCGGGTTGCAAGAAGTCTCGTGGTTTCAGCTCGTTGCGGACGATTCCCAGAGGTAAGAGTGATTAGACAAACAGGAATGTAGCCTAGTGTAACGCTTTCCTCGCGAGCAGGAAGAATCAAGAATGCAGCGAAGATAAGCTCGCTAAGCAGCTCCTCGCAGCACACATTGAGCTCCAGAATGAAGGACGACTTAGTTCATGGACTTATTCGTCACAAGACAAAGGCCAGTGAAACTCGAGGCTTGGATCCATTTACTGAGTTTCTTTCTGTGTCTTTTGCTGCAGGCCAAAAGCTCAAACTGTGGCTCTTTTTACCCGGGCGTCACATTGACAGCAGGCCGTCTCTGGATTTGAAAGGTTTTGCCAACTCCGCTCTTGTCTTGCTACTGCTCGAACTTATGCCACTTTGCTTTTCTTTTGGCAGTTTTAAAATCCGGAGTGTGGACCTGTCCCGGGACGTCGACGGAAGTGACAGCAGCCTTATGCCAAGCCCTTCGCAATCGCTTTGAAAGGTGAAGTAGTAATTTTTGTAGCTCTGGCCTTAGCTTATGCATTTGTATTCCCTGAGCAGGGCGCTGGGTGCTTTTGCTTACGTTCGTTTCGGTGATATGTTTGTCAAGTGCAAGAGATACACCGCAGATGATTCAGACTTCAGGTGGGGTTCGGTTTGGTCGCGTCTCTCTGCTCTTATGAATCCAAACTACTTGGCAGACGAACACTTCCGTCTTGTGAAGCTACGTTTTTTGCGAGTGAAGAAGGCGTGTTTCTCCACTTGCGCATTTCCAGAAGGTTAGGCTTCGTCTGTACCGCATGGGATGCTCTAACTTGGTGTTATCGATGCAGACGAATGAGGCCTTTGGCAGCGTCAGATGTTCGAGCTGTACTTACGCAGCATCTGACCTCTTCTACACCATCGATAGAGAATCCTGCTGGTATGCAACAAAAAGCGATCGGATTGTCTCATGTTCTTTTTCCTTTTATTTTGTGTTTATGTAGTCGTTGTTGCACCCTATGGTCTGACGGGATGGCTCACTGGATGCTGCCCTGGAGATCTGGTTCGACAAATATCCCAAAGGTAAAAACGAGTAGCTGCATGCTTGTGCATTGTCATTCATAGAACATTGCTGGGAATATAGATTGCAGACAATGGACTTGCTGCTATGCAGGCTGATAGAGCCAGTGCTCGAAATACTGTTGCCATTGCAGCAAGTCTGGACCTCTGAAGGACTCTAGCATCAAAAGTTCAGTCACTCCGAGGAATGGAGGATTTGCCTCTCGAAGCTGGTATGTCGAAGTTCGCATGAGGTTCCAGCTAGCCAAAGGCAAGTCTCAGCCCAAGACGGATCAGAACCAGTGGATTGAAAAGGTTTTCATTTTCCCGCCGGAAGCTGTGGTTGTTCCGACCGTGCCTCCGATCTCTGCTCGAACTTACCTCAAAAGGTATGCTTACGAGGTGGCGCCCGCGCAAAGTATATTGATTTAAATTATCGGCAGGTGCTGGCTTCGAAAGCAGGCCGGAACGCATTGGCTTGAGGACGCCTTTTCCGTAAGAAAATTTCTACCGCTTACAAATCTGGCAGGGTAAGGCTCTTTGTATCTCCTAAGGACATGCAGCTCAATGTTTATCTTGTGCAGACATAGATTACAGGCTATGGGTAAAGCTAATACTATTTGGAAGCTGAATAGCAATGGCAGCAAAAGCAGCACTAGCAGCGGTAGCGGTGGTAGCAGTATCAAAAGTAGTGACAGTAGGGGCAGCTCGGGCAGTGAAAGTGATGTGAATGATGATGGCGACTACAGGGAAGATGCAGATTCCGCCGCTACTTTGGCTGGACCAAATGGGACGATGATATCTTCGTCAGGACGCACCCCAGATGGCGATAATAAGCGTCTGCCGGTAAGCTGCTGCTACTGCCGACTTATCTATCTCTTGCGCTGCTTTTCAGGGATCAAAGCGCGGGAGAGAACACGGAAATGATATGCACAATAGTTCTAAATCTGCAAGAAGAACTAGCCCTGAGATTTCATCGTCAGCAGCAAATAATGCCGAGTCCACGAAAGGTGCACCAAGTCAGGCGGGGACACCCTGGGACTGGACCGATCAGGTTAACATCCAAAGTGATGCAGACTTTTTTGCGGAGTTCGGAGATTTTGGAGATTTCTTTGAAGGTGACGGGCTTGGTTTCGGTGAGGTATGCTGCTTCTTCTTTCGACCAGATTTTTGCCTGACGCGCACTTCGTGGCTGTGTAGCCTCCAGGGACGATGGAATCCCAATCATACATGTTCCCGTTTGACGGTGATGGGTCGAATACTCCGGGAACACAGTTTATTGAGACTTCAGATCCAATGCGACTACCGATACTGGATTTTCCTATGCTTGAGGTATTGGGTCAAGCGGAAGATTTGGAAAAGGAACAGGATACAGGCACAGTCGTCGATGAGAAGTGCGAACCAGAATCTTCACCGCCTGTTCTCGTTCCTGCCGGTCTTTCTCTAGTGGCCAAGTCCGAAGCGGCCTTGATATTTGCTTCCGAGTATGCTCCTATCGATATTACTGGTCTGGACAAGCTGGACAGAAAACCTGCATACAAACCAGATGCAAGAAAGGAAACTTCAGCTTCTCAGTCCGCAAGCTATGTTTATGGAGCGACTCCTCCACCGACGCCAAAGCTAGACTCGTACGAACGTAAAGCGCACTCTAGATGGCGGACCGAGTTTGAAGAACGGAAAAATGTAGCAGTTAACAATTTCGGCAACTTAAAGTATGGTGAAACATCGCCTACGGACAATACTCTGGTTGCGAAGACTGGTAACTCCCATCGAATACAAGGGCCACTGGCTGCTACACTTGCAACGGAGTTGGAATGTGCAATGTTTCAACTTCAACTCCACAGCGTCAAAGGATTCGCGTACTGTGCTCATCCTAACGAACATGCCAAGCTTACAGAGTCGTCTCATAAGGAATGCACTTCTGAAATAACGGACTCGTCAGATGCCTGTGACAGCTTACGACGCAAGCCTGATCGGAAGAAAGTTCCTGAAAGAATTGCTGGAGATACGGATGACTTATCTCACGATGGGCCTCGGCCAGTTGAGGTTGGCGTATGGCGTCCAGTTGGTTTACCAAAGCCGCAGCAAAGGCCTCCGGATGGTGGCCGCGGAGCGGTTTCCAATATAGCATCTCCAGAGGTTGGCACTCCGTCTGAAATAAGCGACGCGGCCATGCAGGACATCGTCGACTTGATACCGCTTTTAGTTCAACAAGCAGCTTGTTGCAATGACATATCTCTGAATGGGGAGCATGGAGATGGTGCATTAGCTTGGCTGACTTTACAGCAGAAGCTAAGTCAACAGGATCTGAGCTGGACAAGTGATGTGTGTGATCCTTCTATCACCGAGGTGAGTGTCTGTTTTTTTTTTTCTTCATTCAATACCAAGCTTTCTGCGGTGGTGGTGTGCAGATTTCTCCTGCTACAGTAGCAAGCATTCTTCAGTCAGATATGCGTCAGGCTGTGGGTGTTGCGTTTAGTGATATCAATGCGGCTGGTCCGTTGAGCTTGGCTGAGTGGTGTCGGGGTAAGACTCCGACAGACAATCATTCAGGACCATCTGACTCTAAGGACCTTGTCAGCAGTATAACCGGCGAGCCTATTACGCCTCCGCAATCGGCGAAGGTAGTGTCTTTGCAGGATCTGGATAATCATGCTCCGGAATTTCGTAGGAGTGGTCGAGAGGCTGAGGATGCTGCTCAGAGAAGGTTGTGTGTTGATGATGCTGAAAGTCAAGCATTATCATACGCGATGCTTCCAGTGCCTACTCTTCTCGTCGGGTATTTCTCTCTTTTGCCATTTCATTGCTGTCCTAAATAGTGTCTTCGTCTCAGATATCAAGAAGATTGGTTAAGAACGGCTCCAAGGTCTCTGCGGTACTGGGAAAAAGCTCCTTTCGAACCGTATGGCTACCCGAAATCTGTAAGGCTTACTTTTCATTTGCTAAGTCTTCCAAATTCACTGACTCGTTTTCGAAGGTTACATACTACGTTATTTGCGCTGGTTTGGATCCTTTGCTGTGTTCCGCACTTGAGTTTTTTCAGCAACTCAGTAGTGGTAAGTCTTCAATGCCACCATTGTTGGGATTCCCCTCATTTTTTATTTTTTTTATTTGTGCAGTTTATGAAGCATGCAAGCTTGGAGCACACATTCCAGCAAATGTCACGGCACAAACTGTCAGCAAACGCTTGCTACCTGGATTCGTTCCAGTAGATTTTCCTTCCAAGCTTAAAGGAAGTTCCTCATCTATTAATCTGGCAAACGACTACATAACGGCTATGGATAATGGCTGGGATGTCTCCGAATTTCGAAAGTCTCTTCGAAAAGCGTGCAAATCCCTCAACCTCGGCAATTCTGTATCCCTGGAGGCTGATCATGAAAACAGCCCCAGCACGGTATGCGATGGCCACGTTGTATGTATTTTCTAACACACAAGTGCAGGTTCTTTACGTTGTAAGTCCTTCGTCGGAGCCCTCCATGGTTTTGCAAACGCTGATGGAGACCTGTCAGAGCATTGGACCGAACTTAAACATCAAAAAGGCTTCAGGGAAAAATTCAATGGAGGATGGAAAGCAACCAGTTGCCGGATTTTCTATCGGAAGGCTAGCCTTGCAAGTGGTAACTCCCGAAACGGTGATAAGGTTGAGTAGCTCGCCTGCAGCCGGGCTTGACATCCTGAAGGAGCTATCATTTGCAGTATACAACAAGCTGCGTCGTATACCATACAAAGCTGCTGAAGATACGCAACAATATGGCTTTGCATCTAAATCCCGTATGGGTTTGCAGAGCAATACTGCGATGACATGGAAAGACTGTCGGAATGTCTCATTACTGGACACTGGAAACTTACGCTGGGACAAGTCATGGTCTTCTTCCAGGCTATTGGAAACGTCTGCTTCCGGTCCGCCAGCACCATTCCGACTCTTATACGAGCCTCTGTTTATTCTCGCGGATGGTTGTATATTGGACCACTCTATGGGACAACTGACCAAAGCCAGAACAGAAGAGGTTTCGACACAGAGTTTTGGGATACCAGACACTGGCAGTGTAGCGGACGGGGTCTCCAGGACTAGCAGCCAGCCACTCTCTTTTCACTGCTGTTATTCGTGGACGAGCAACTGGCTGTGGCTGATCGCCGTCTGGATAGATTCCCAAGGGAAGATGCTGGACGTGAACGTATTTCCTAGTCCCCGGTGCACGCAGGATAAGGATGACTGCTCCAAAGAACTCTGTCAGCTCTTTAGTCAGGTAATGCAACAGGGTCAGCAGCTCTTGGCAACCATGTCTCGAACGGCAGGCAACAGGGGCCACACAGTTACCGTCACCCGTATGGGTGATCTGTATGAAACCGAGTACCAAGGTATGATCAAGTTATACTTTTTCTTATCAAGCTAACTGATCCTCGACCATGCTCCAGAATGGCAACGCGTGTTTATGAACATCGCGGGAGATGAATCCAGAGTATGGCCCGTGGTGATTCGTCCGGACAGCGGCGGTGATGCTAGCTCTTTGTCCCAGCAGAGAAATGTGAGCGCAGTCGTGGGATTTCCATCGTCTCCAGGTTCGTCGTCGTCTTTTGTTTCGCGCGGCTTACTCCCAAAGCCGGAGATCAACTTCCATGCTGGGAAGCTTGCCGGTGTGACCTTGGCAACGGTGTCTGGTGACGAATCATTGCAGGTGCTGAGCCTCGCCGAATCTGCTGGTAAGCTGGAATTTCCTTCGTATCCAACTATTCGCTGACTGAAGTTTTCATTCCAGCAGCTTCGACATGGTCCGTAGCCAGCTCGAGTGGACTAGCCTCCGGTTTTGGCATGGCAAAAACAATCGCTTCTCTTAACGGGGCTTACCTCTTCATTCCCGCTCACGGTTTACGCTCGCTCTCCTCGTCAGACTCGGTGGCTAGCAACAAAGTCAACGTCCCGGCATTTGGACAGTGGATCCAGAGCAGAGGCTCCGTCTCTCCCGTTGCATCCGGCTATGTCATCTCCGGCCCGACCACAGCTCTACGAGCCGAGGTTGCTCAAGTTTCCATGGAGGAGGAATGGCCGAGCACGCTCCAGATCGGTCTCGTAGCACACTTTGGCTCCTCCAAGGCTCGGCAGGAGACGCAAGGAATGCGTCTGGGTGGGAATGGCTTGTGTGACAACGCCGGTAGTAGCAGCAACACTAGCGGGAGCAGTGCCAGCACAGGAAAGCAAGGGAGCAGCAGCGGCATCAAGCAGCAAATCCGCTACGTTCTAGAGCAACTTGGAGCCGAGTTTTATGGCCTGTCATGGCTGACCATCAGTCCCATGTATCTCCACCGCCGCCGACCGCTGCCTTACCACTGCGACGTAGCGCAGCGGCTGGAGAAGCTACTGGGTTACATGGAGGCGGCGGCGGAGCTATCGCCCACTGCTACCACGGCCACCGCCGCCGCCACCGCTAGCTAGAGACACTACCTGTACGATGATTAACTATGTACATATGGGCTTCTTTTACCGGTTGACAAGTGTAGACAGCAATACGTATGCTCCTCCCTCGTTTGGATTCATACTCAATACCATATTTGCTGCACGTCCACCATTCTGTAAGACTCTATGGCTTTTGCACGCCCCAAGCAAGCTAGTCCACTCCAAAACATCTGGAAAGTATGGCATGTTTGCAATGAGCTCTTCTGCCTCGTTCAGGTGTCCTGACCGGCCCAACAGATCCACAAAGCATCTATAGTGCTGCTTGCTTGGCTCCATGCCATAGTCTGCTACAACTGAAGCAAAGCACTGCCTTCCTCGCCTCACGTTTCCAGTATGGCTGCACGCCACAAGACCCAAAACAAAGCACGTCAAGTCGGGGAGGTGGAGCATCTTGAGCGAATCAAACAGTTCCAATGCCTCAAGTGATCTACCCGCATGAGCTAGGGCTGCCAGCATCGCAGCATATGAAATCAGGTCAGGCTCGGGAATCTGGGCCAGCAGCTTCAAAGCTCTGTCCAAATGCCCATTCACGGCATATGCTGTCAACAGGGTATTCCATGTAGCTGATTCGTGTTGGGGGACACTTACAAACATCCTAATGGCCTTGGCCAGATGCCCATGATGAGAGTATGCTGAAAGCATTGTGTTCCATGACAGCAGATCCTGCTCTGGCATGGAGTTGAAGTGTTGCTCCATCTCCACCATTTCATACACCCCGCTCTTGCTTTTCAAGAGTAGCATTGTGGTCCACGAGACGAGGTCGCGCTGTGGCATCTCTTCAAACAAGCACGTAGACTCCTCTATGCAATTGTGGCAGGCATATGCCGCAAGCATTGAGTTCCAGGATACAATGTCCCTGAAAGCCATTTTGGTAAACACAAGCATGGCAGATTCAACCAGGCCGCTTTCTGAGAATGCAGCAATCATTGTGTTGGACGATAAGACGTTGTGATATGGCATGTCTTTGAAAATCTCTTTAGCTTCTTCAAGATGCCGTGACTGGGCATATACTGCTAAAATGGCATTATACGAGGCAAGGTTGCGCTGTGACATCTTTCTAAACATCTCTTGTGACCCGACTGTATTGCCTGCCTCGCCCAAACCATAAATCAGGGCATTCCACGACACAAGATCCCATTCAGGCATGCTGTCGAAAATCTCCAAACAACGATGCCCTTGCTTGTTTTGGGCATGTGCAACAAGCATTACATTCCAGCACACGATGTCGATCTGAGGGGCCTCCAGAAAGATAAGCTCAGATTCCTGTAAATACCCTTCTTGGGCATACAGTGCCATGATTGTTGTCCATGAAACCAGGTTCCTTTCTGGCATCTCTTCAAGGAAGTTTGCAGATTCCTCTAGACGACCGGCTCGGGCATATGCTGCGAGCATCCCATTCCACGTCGCCACATTCCGCAAAGGAATGCTGCCAAACAGCTGCTGGGAGAGATCCAGGCGTCCATTCTCAGAGCATGCACTGATCATGGCATTCCACGAAACAATGTCTCTCTCTGGCATTTTCTCAAAGATCTCAATCGCAGACTCTACCTCTCCACTCTGGGCATACATGCTGATCATCGTTGTGTACGTCACCTCGTTTCTAGCGGGCATTCCCTCGAACATCTCCACACACTCTTTCATATGCCCAGTTCGGGCATATCCAGCCAAGAGCACATTCCAAGGAATGACGCTCTTGTGAGGCATTGTCGCAAAGATTCTCTGGGCTTCCTCCAAAAGCCCGTTCCGCACGTAGGCAATGAGCAGGAGATCCCAGGAGAAGGAATCTTTCCTGTGGAGCGAGTCAAAGACGCGGCGGGCATTAGAGACACTAGAACACCTCCCATACATCTCGATCAGCTTGTTGCAAAGGAAGATGTCGTTGCTCGGATCTTTGAGGATGGATTGGATCCTGGAGTGAGCTTGGAGCGCTTGAGAGGGAGTTGCAGAGCTTTGGATGAACTCCAAGCACTCCTGCCTCCTAGTTTTGTAGTGATTCATTCATTTACTATCTTGAGTTTAGGGTTTTAGCGAGGGAATGCTCCAGCAGCGCGTGAATGCGCTCACGGGCGAGAGCGAATGGATTCTCGTCAGCGATGGAGACGATGGCGATGCGAGCGATGCTTTGGCGGAGAGCTTGTACCTTGATATGCTGAATGATCGTGCCAGGAACACGGCATTCTCTTCCGCAATCGCGAAGCTCGGCCGCCACGGCCATGTCCTTGACATTGGGTAAGGTTAGAGATCCTTCTTTGCTGAGCTAGATAGATGCATTCTTGGCAGTGCTGGGAGTGGGCTCTTGTCGATGATGGCTTGGCGGGCAATGGAAAAGCAGTGCCAGGTGACTGCTTGCGAATCGTTTCTTCCAATGTACAAGCTGGCTCGCAAAGTTTGCCGAGACAATGGGACGATGGGAGCGATCAAGCTGCTCCATATGCGCTCGGATGAGATCAAAGTCGGGGTGGACATCTCCAGCAGAGCCGATGCATTGGTACGTTCTTCTTCCGCTGGACTCTTCTACTAAGTATCTCTCCAGGTGTGTGAGATTTTAGACTCGGAGTTGCTTGGAGAAGGAATAATTCCAAGCTTGAGGCACGCTCACAAGCATTTACTCCAGCCTAATGCTGCAACAGTGCCATATCGAGCTACTGTGTATGCGCAGGTATTGTAAAGTCTCTTTTCCAATCGATGGAGTTTACAACTTTTTCTTAGCTGGTCGAGTGCGACTTTCTGTGGAGATTTCACGACCTTCAAGGAGTAGAAGCTCAGCTGCAGGACGGAATGGCTTTTTCTCCCGAGGATTTCTACTCTTATTTCAAGCACAGACAACATGCGTTTCACGTAGATGAAATCCCCGGTATCAAGCTGGTAATTTAGTAGAGTTCTCTTACAAGTTACCAAAAACCCGTGGTGTTGCAGCTTTCTGAGCCGTTTGAAGCTTTCACTCTTGACTTTTATAGAGCTCCAGATGTGTGTGGACAATTTACTCGAGCCGTGCATGTCAACATGTCTGGGACTGCTCACGCAATAGTTTCATGGTACGAAACTTGCTCAGATTCGCTTTCGCTTTCCTCTCTGATTGAACTTGACAAGGTGGGTGCTGCAGCTTGACAAAGATGGCTTGATTTGCTACTCAACTGCTCCTCGTTGGGTCAAAGGTTTGTTTTCCTGTTTGATTCTTTTAGTAGCTCCTTCTAAGAGGGTAATTCTCAGGAGCAAGTGATTGGTGTGACCATTGGAAACAATGTGTCTGGTTTCTTCCTGGACAAGGTATTTCGGTGGAGCAGCACTCAGAGCTTTGCCTCGTAGTCAGCCACGATGAAACCTCAGTGCGGTATGACATCAATGGTGGTGGACGCTGCAATAGTTTTGCGTCTGGTTTCAAGCTGAGCCCACAAAGGTGTTGCATGCTTGGGGACGGTAGCAGGCGTTCTATCATACGTTCTGCCATTCAGAAAGCTGTAAGTAAGTTCCCTTTGAATCTGTTCTTGCTCATTTTTTTCTTTTTTCTTTTATGTCCAGCTTGGAGAGCGAGAAGTTGGAAACTGTCTCATTCTGGATGACGGTCTGATGAGCGCCGTGTGTGCTCTATCTACAGTACATGGATCCTGCCATGTGGCTGGGTTGTTCCCAGGCTGTAGAAGAGATGGCTTGAAGTACTTGGCGAGCGTCGCGAGCAAGTTGTCTATAATACACAAAGATGTCAAGCATCTCACCAGGGACGATTTCAAGGGACATAAAGTATACAGTCTTGCAAGTCCATTGGATATTGACGGGTTTCTTTCTTTTCGCAACAGGTGGATGTTCTTTTAGCAGAGCCTTATTATGCCACGTACGAGCATGCGTTGCCGTGGAAGCAGCTGCGGTTTTGGTTAGTTTTCGTTTTCTTATGAGTTGGAAGTCGTTTAAAGCAGTGAGATTCCAGGTACGAGAGAACGACGCTAAGTCCGTTGCTATCAGAGAATCCTATTATAGTTCCTTGCCTTGGAATTCTCTATGGGATGGCTTGTTATCTTCCTGTAAGTTTTTTTGAGACGTCAAAAGGATTTCACTTTTTGTAAAAACAGGATTTGTGGCAAAGCCGTTGTTGCCTTGAAGGCGTTGAAGGGTTTGACCACAGCTCAGTTAATTCAATGCTTGGAGCATGTGGAAACCTTCCAGATGGCCAAGACAGTCCAATTTTACCATTTTCAATATGGCAATGTGGACGACATGAGGTTTGTATTTTTTACGTGAAACAAGGGGCTTAACTCGAATTTTGTGTTGTGGTCAGTCATTGACAAAACCGTTTCCACTGCTCGAGTTCAACATGCGTGAGGAAATTCACAGTCTAAGTGTATTTGCAAAGGTTAGTCATTTTAGGTGGCATGGCACCACTGACCGTTTTCGGCATTTAGCACAGGTTACCTTTGTAAAGAGTGGACTTTGCCATGGAGTTGTCCTGTGGATGGACTGGGTGATGGATCCCGAGAACAAAGATTTGGTACTTTCAACGGGACATGTAAATCCAAGTGAGTAAGATCTCATCTCAACGAGTTTGTTCCTGACTAGTCATTTTTTAGGCGGCAGCTGGTGCTGGAAGCAGGGTGTCAAGCTTTTCCGAACACCACTGCAAGTCACTGAGACTTTAGAGCTCAATGCGTCCTTCAATTCACAGAGTGGAGAGATCAGCGTCACTCAGATGGTGTGAAGTCACAAATATCGACTCTTTTGCATTTTGGAAAGATGAAAATCAATATTAAACAAATGTAAGTAAAGTTCATAGTTCTTCGTTTCTTCATCCTTCAAGCAGATGGTGTCAATGCATGGTAACTTCCGCCACCTCTCAATTGCTGAGTTATACACCACCAAAATCCTGTCTGCGTTGTCCACTTTCACTTCTCCCTCGTCATCGTCGTTGTGAACCAGCATTGAACGCCCGAAACCCATATCCCACAAACTTCCTGGGGACCTCAAGGATCCGGCACTGCGCCCGAGAATGGGAGCGCTCTCAAAAGTCGAGCATCTTGCCGTTACAGGTCACAAAATGGTGAGGGTCAATGTCATCACCCAAAGTCCTCTCGTTCGACGACTCCTCCGAGAAGAAGTCCACATCGCCACGGCCTGCCAAACACTGCGCAGCGCAAGGAGCAGATCTTGCTGGAAATAATATCTGGACTCCTGACCCAAGCGAACAATCTTAAAATCTTGAAAGTCTTGAAGGACGCAGTGCCATTACCGTGGTTTTACCATGTGCCACGTGTTCGTTACGCGTACTTTCCCTTGGTAGAGATCTTGTGCTTCCAGAAATGATAAACCTAAAGTTCGGACTGCCACTCCCGTGTAAGGGGCTAGAATTGCAATGTGATGATGGATCTCTAGCTCTAAACTCTCCACAACTTTTCTTAGTTTTTAACTTTCCTCTTTTCCGGTTCAAATCTCGTGGCTGCTGACTTGCATTTAAAAGCTTATAGCTCCAACCAAACACAACGGGATCAAGGAGTTCTGCATCTAGGCCAATCAATTCCATGCACTCTCTCATGAGGATTTGGATATTGATCCTCTCGAATCTAACACTGATATATTGAAGGTGTACGAACTTTTGCTTGCTCTCCATTCCTTCTTTGACCTAGAGCACAACATGAGATGATTAAGAGCATCATTTCCTCAATCTGTCCGGTGAACGGTGACTGCGTCTTTCAATTCACAGAAGTCAATGTAAGTCAATCAATAAAAATCGTCTGCCATTGACAAGCTCAATTTTGGCAAGATAGGCATCCGTCTGAAGCCATAGATATTGATTCTAAAAAAACATCAAACAATGTAAATTCGAGTTCATGCCATCTTTTTTCGCTTCAAGTTCTTAGCTTCTTCATCTATCAAGCAGATGGTGTTGTTAGGCCTGAAGTAAACAGCTTCACACGCATGCTCGTTATATATGGTAGTTTCTGCCACTCTGAGTTATACACTGGTACCAAAATCCTGTCATCGCCAACTTCCTCTTCTTCCTCCTGCTTCTCATCTGGAACCGTGTTTGCCCCTCCCTCTTGCTTGCTCTTCTCTTCCTGATCTTCCTCCTCCTCTTCCTCTGCCTCTTCTTCATCGACGTTGTAAGGGAGTTCCAGCACCACCACTCCGTCCACAACATTACACGCCTGAAACCATATCCGTTTCCCTCCCCCGCAAACTTCTTGGGGACATCAGAGATCCAGTCCTGCGCCCGAGAATGGCAGCGCTGTCTCACTTTCAGGATGCGGTCAAAGTGCCAGAAGTCGAGTATCTTGCCATTGCACGCCACAAACTGGTGGTGGTCGCTGTCATCAACCAGAGGCGTCTTGTTTCCCTTCTCCGAGAAGAAGGATCCGGCATCCACATCTCTCCTTGTCGGCCTCCCAGACACTGCGCAGCGCATCCTGGTGACTCCATGGCATGCACGTCGAAATCCTTGAACACGCTGTTGCGAGTCCTGCTCCACTCGTTATTCCCCCTCGAGTCGTAAACTTGGACCTTGACAGCATATCTTGCCGATTATGTTTCCATAACGGCACCCAAGTTCATGGAGTAGCGAACATTCTTAAAGTAGTGAAGCTCGCCACTTGAAGGAACAGTGCCAATAGTAACGCATCCTCCATATCACTCACCATGTGCCATGTGTTCGTTACCGGCTTGCCAACAGCGTGCGTTTGCACAAGTGAACAATCGCCAACTGCAAAGTTGGCAAGGACGCATCCCCAGTCCAAATAAATACACTAGTAACATAAAAAGGCAAGGTTGGGCTAGCCAAATCCTTAAACAGGGCAGGGCAAAGCCAGGGAGATGAAGATGCTGAGCCTAGACGACTCCATAGACGATCACCTGAAGTGGGCATTTCCAAAAGCTCAAATGAGCTCCTCCATTGAGGCTTGCGTGAAGGCGCTGGAGGAAGATACGATTTCCACGCTGAAGGACCTCAGGGACTATGATTACTCGAGTTTCCCGGGGAAATACGCTTTCAAAAGGCACTTAGGTATGCTCTCGTTGCTCTCTTCTCTTGTTGCACCTACACTGGCTTGTTTTCGTGCAGCTTGCATCGTCCCCCTTGTAACTACTTGGAGCGAAGCTGTCCAGGTTGGCTCATGCCTTCGCGATTGGTGGCTGCCGTTGAAGGACGACCCTAGCTACCTCTGGAACGAGCGTGAGGCTTACAGACTTCTCTGGCTTGGTGCAATACCTCCCAAGGAGCAAACTTGGTGGAGTTGCGGACAGCAGCAGGTCTACTTGTTCATAGGACGGACCATAAGCCATTCTGTCTACGAGGGCATCTGCGGCTTGGAGGGCGAGACTTATCTGCGGCTGGTGGGTGCAAAGGGATCCGGGAAGACGTTAGTGGTTGCATCAGTTTGCAGCCACATCCAACAGGCTGGGCTGAAGCAGATAGTTTATCTGGACGCAAAATCATACATACATGAGCCCCTGCCCACCTTGCGGGGGGCCTTGCTGCTGGCATTCTACGGGAAGGAGAAGATTTGGCTAGATATTCTCAAGGAGAAAACCTTGCCTGAGCTGGAAAACTGGTGTCGTTACAGTGGCGGCGACAAACTGGTCTTTGTGGTTGATGACTGGGAGTCGCTGCATGTCAAGAATGCTGTGGAGGACCCAGACGCGGCCAAAAAGTCTGAGGCAAAGCAGAGTATACTACGGGCTCGGCAACGGCATCCGCTGGTTGTAGTTGCTTCGGTGAACAGCAAAGAGCATCTATTCAGACTGACAGACGACAGGGAGGCGCTGGTGGATATCACAAGCAGGCTTGAGCTTGATGGGCCTTTCAGCGATCAAGAGCTTATGACGTGGCTGGGGATAACGAAATTACCGATAGAACGACAGCAGGACATGGAATTCCTCACTGGAGGAATGCCACGGCTACTGAACTACTTTAAGGTGTCACTGTGGGATGTTGAGAAGTACCTGACACATATTCATCTACCATATACCAGCAAGCTTTGGAGCGAGCTGATTAAGAAGCTGAACACAGTGGAGGAGTTGGAAGCAGCCTCTAGATTGATTCTCCAGGGAAACTTGAAAGCCGAGCTGGAGCACGTGAACCAGACGTGTTTTTTCACTGAAGGAACGGAGCTTAGCTTCCTCTGCCCCTATCTGCAGGTTGAGGCAAAGAGGCTGCTCTTAGCAAGATACAGGGAGGTGGAAGCCGCTTTAGCCACACTGGATATCAAGGAGTGGGTCAACGTGGTTAAACTGGATCTGATAAGGCAGCAGACTCCCCAGCGTACCCCCCGTATAGGCTGGAATATGGAAGGGCTTCTGATTGACGTAATGCAGTACCAGGGGCGAGTCTTCATGGGAGATGACACTACTGCCTTCAAACACGTCATGCAGTATCCCAAGGGTGGGGAAAAGCAGACCTGCCTGTGTTTGCAAGGTCAAGATAGGGAGCTTGAAGAAGGCGTACTTCTGGTTCCCAAGGCGTACAACGAGAAAGCGATCGATCTCCTGTTGGTGAAGGTGAGAAACGGCACTACACTGATTTTCTACGCCTTGCAGATTTCCGTTGCGAAATGGAAGCTGAAATCTAAGAAGAAGTCGCACCTAGTTTGGAAGTCCGTGGTTCTACCTGCTTGGAAGGAGGCCATGACCGGCTACAGCGAGTATGAGGTTCGATACTACTATATAATGCCGGAGAACATCAAGCAAACTGACTTGCCGCCTGATGAGCAAGATGAGGAAATCGTCCCCATAGTCGATGTACAGTTCAAGAAGCTCTCTGACGTCCGCGATGATCTCGGCTACTTTGACCAGCGGCTCATGTTGGTAGAACCTACCATCCTGCAGTCGCGAGTGATGGACTATTGCATGGGCAGAAACCGTGACGACTACACACCTTGCAGAAACTGGGTTGAAAAGGGTGGCTACTGTAAGCTTCACGTGCAGTAAGTATGGCGTTTCTTGTGCTTTTTTGCACTTAACTTGCTTTGTTTTCACTTGCAGGAAAGACGAAGGGCCCCAGCCCCATTTCAAGAAGCGACGGCTCGAGTCAGTTGGGCGCAGTGTGCCTAAGTAGATGTTTCTGGATTTCAAAACTAACTGCTTAAGACAGGTGGATGCTAATTAGAATGTTCTGGCGAGTGTGATACCGTCGGTTTGGAACCACTCAGTCGCCTCAAATTGACCTACACGACGTTTGCAGTTGGCAGAGAAAGGTATCAAAGCTGAGTTTCTTCAAGTTCTAAATTTAAGAGATCCATCAGGATATTCCTCTACAGTTTAGGTTGAACAACAAAGTTAAAAAGAAGGGAATGTTGCCCTTTCTTTGAAGCATTTAAATGTGTTTAATAATATTCTTATAAACTTTACAATAGAGAGTGGTTTTTAGAGAGATTTCACAGCTTGCTAATGGTAATATGGTGGCTCTAATCTTGTGTGCATGACTGGCTTAAATATATGTCCCAAAACAATTAAATTGCCAAAAGGCCCATACTAAACTAAAGGAATGCATTATAAATAGAAATTTATATTCTAGATGGACTAGTAAATGATGCAATATGAGAATTAAAATATTACACACAATATGATATATAAAATGTAATATAGGTAAGAAAATAAAAGAGAGCTGAAATATCAAAGCATTATAATTTTAATATATAGACTGAATCTAAATACTAATACAATTGTGGGGTAAAAGCCCAAAGCAAGTGCTTAAAAGCAACTTTCACTCCCGGAAGAAAAATTAGTTATAGTGCTCTTGGCTCATATGGAATGATACCCCATTTAAGTATTATATAGGAATAAAGGTATTTATAT